AGTTCATATTTATACTAACTGTGTAATGGTACATTTTGTTGACCCCTAGTCCATGGACTACCTCGATGCGTTGGACCTGGTCTATGGAATGCTTGAAAGGACTACACATGGACTACCCTAAATGGACAACCCTAAATGGACAACCCTGAAATTTGTGGCAAACATAAATTTAACGGTACTAGAACTCGAACAAAAGATACAATCGATCGACAAACACAATTACGGAACACTTGCGATGTAACAGATTTAACGATCATGGCGAGGTTGTTCGGAAGGCGGTTAACGCTAACCCAGGATTAAAAGTTAACCGAAGTATATTTTTTTTCTGTATACAGATGTTTTTCATTGCTTACGTTTTGTGTAATTTGAGATTATTCAAGCTCAAAACAGAAGCCAAACAATAAAAACAGAAAATCTCACCGAAAAGTTACAAAACTCAAATCAAAATTGTCGCTTAACTTGGGTTAGCTTACTCAGGCTTTGAACAATTCGGCCCAGAGGTTCGCCCTTAACCTTGGCTAAATATATATATTATTTTGAATACAGTCAAGAAGAACTTATCGAGACTTTATAGCTCTCAAGCTGACCCCGTGAGAGAAAATTGAACTTGAAGTTATCCATATTTTAATTAAAACAGACGTTTCGTGTTAGTTAAAACCAGAACCCACAATAACACACGCTTGAACCATTCCTACGAAGTTTGACATTAACTTTCTCGAGAATGCTTGAGGATTTAATCACGGGGTCACTTAGAGAAATGAACTAAAGTGAGTTGTCTGAAACAGTATTCAAAAAGTTACCGTGCTATGAGTAGATTTGTGGTAAAATTATTTTTGCTCTTATTGCTCGAACATTGAGGGGAATCCGTCTTAGTCTAGTTAGGTCTGGTTTGGTTTGCTTGTTGTCCTATTTCAGATTCACGCGTATCCGACTGCAAAGTTTTTGCTAAATAAAGGGATAACTCTCTGTTCTCTATAAAACAAGACATGAAATGGAACAACAAACAATCAAAATAAAAAAAA